ATTAATGACTTGAGGAAAGGCATGAATCCATTTCTCTTTGTGCTTTGTACTATCTCCAGATATCTAGACAAGAATGTCCTGTCTCTAGTATGCCACAATATCTTCTGAGCCCATCCTTGTGCAAGCCATATTCTCATAACAAAAAACCAAATACTAATACAACCCACTTTCCCATAACTCATACATCATCATCATCATCAGTCCTATAACCAGGTGTGATCATTGGGTTGCTGTGAATCTGTTCAACTGACCAGTTACATCCAACTATCTGGGTTGAAATCTGGCAAGGTATTTATACCTGCATAGCGAGTTTCAGGCAAGTAGACCTAATGGAATCCATCCCTCACCAGGTGAAACCACAGTTGACATTGTACAACTTGAAGGATCGCCTTAATCACAGACATATAACTGTTGAGTCCATAAGGGTGCCCTATGACCTGGCTGTTCAGTCTAGATAGCCCTTGGTCCCAGCGATGTAGGTAAAATATTTAATTATGCTGTGAAGATTTTTGTAGAAAGAATGAAGCAGATTCTACAACATTTATTTGATAGAAATTTTATCTCAAAATAAAAATCATATCTTAGCATGAAATTAAATTTGTATATATATATATGTATATATATTTTTTTTTTTCCATTTCCAGTACTGTCATCCAAGTTGTCAGGCCCAAGCATGGAGTGTTAGCACTATCCTGGAGACACTTCATGATATGGAGTACATTGTTTAATTTGGCAATGAATGTCGCGCTTCATTTAACATTTAATTCTGGATGTAGGATTACATCGCAAAGTAAATAGATTCGGCATCGTCGCTGCCCATTTTAGATGTTAAATGAACCTTGTCTCCCTGTTCATGTGGAAGAATTCTGGTTTGGATGAATTCACAGAAATTGGACTTTTATTTTTTAAATTCTAATTCCAAATATTATAATGATTATTATTATTATTATTCCTTTCTTTTTTTTGTTATACTGCTATTGTCTTCTGCAATCTTAAACCCCGAAAAAGTAATTGCACACATGACTCTTGCTAATTCTTTATCCATTTATACACCGAAATATTTCAGATAATTTTTATTGCAATATATTTGCCATTTTATCCTTATACGCATACACTAGAAGAAGATAATTATAATCTGTATAATTTTAGATCTTTTTAGCATGTTATATGTGCAAGTAGACACAAGCGTAATGCTGTACGTACATGTAGAAAACAGTTACTGGTCATTGTCCAGAGAGCTAACGGAAATGGTGAGTCACATTCAGCAATTGTCTCTGAAAAAATTCACTGAGGTCATTTATTTAAAAAAAAAAAAAAAAAAAAAAAAAAAAAAACTAAACAAAAAAACCCAAACAAATTTATAGTTTTCTGAACCTGCACACCTATATCACGTTTGTTTCTCGGAGAAAGTGTTCAGGTGCAAAAGTGAGATAAGGTCCAACCTAAGTTTGTTTAGAAGTACGAAATAAGAAAAGCTGCTCTCTCCATGTTTGCGTCACTACTAAGACTGAACAATTTGCGAGGAGCTTGCTCTCTTTCTCTCTCTCTCTCTCTCTCTGTCTTTGTTCGGCTGTCGTCTCCCCACTGACCACTGGCTGAGTGAGGCTTTTTTTTCTTTTTTTCCCCAAATCATATATGTATGCTTCTTTGCAGTTACCACAAGCCTGTAAACAACAATTTCGATCGTACAAAGTACCGTGCGCTGCGTTGTTTCAGGTCTTGTGGTCGAGGTTTGACCTGCAAGAGATATGTCTACTGTTGATAGACAAGCTCTGTTCTAGGAATAAAATGAGTTTGAATTTTTTCATGTTTGAAGGCAAAAAAAAAAAAATAGGTAAAAACGCTTTTTCTTGGATGTAGAATTTTGGCATCTTCCAAATTTTAAATGTTGATTGGTAAATGAAAAAACAAAACTGCTTCTTCTTTCTTATACTTTTAAACCATTGTACCGTCTAAAGTGAATAAATGCAGAAAACAGCCAGACTGCACAATCTGGTCTGACCTCCAGCTAAAATGATTTTCAGATGAGGTTAAAGGGAGATAAACTGATTGATCGACACAGAGATCTGTGTGTCTATTTATAAACTATTAAGATTTTTTAGTTATCTTCAATAATTTGCACTTTAAGAGATCTGTTGGGTACAGTGGATTAAAAAGTGACCATCTTTGTTCAAATATCTTAAAAGCCTCATCCCAAGACAAGACTAAAGTTTACTTAGCATACTTTCGGACTCCAAATTCTTAGAACTTGCCACAAAAGAGAACATAGCAGAGGAAGGCTTAAAGGAAGCAAGAGATTCCAACTCATTTTAAATTCCGACTATTTTGTTCTCATCTTTGCATCTGAATTCTTTTTTGTTCTTCTGTGTGATTTTCACTTTTTTTTTATTCTGGTTTTCAATTCAGTGATCAGATTGAAATTCTTCACATTTCTTAGTTCGGGTTAAAGTCTTGAAGTTGTGCCTTATATGTGCAAATATATTATTGCTCAACTTAGGAATGAGAGAGAAATTCAAATGCCCATGGTGGACAAAAAATATCTTATCTGCATTGTAGTTTCAACAAAATGTAGAAAGGTAAAAAGCAGGAAATTCATAGCAGTGTTATGGAGTCAATTAAAAGAAGTTGGCTGATAGCTTAAAAATTCTGTCTTTTTTATTCCTTTTTTAGCTATCTGCCTCAAGTGGCTGAATGTTGATGTCATCTGCCTCAAGTGGCTGAATGTTGATGTCATCTGCCTCAAGTGGCTGAATGTTGATGTCATCTGCCTCAAGTGGCTGAATGTTGATGTCATCTGCCTCAAGTGGCTGAATGTTGAGGTTATCTGCCTCACGTGGTTGAACTCGGGTTAGCTGTTAAAAAGCTCTCTTTAATGGCCAAAATTCAATGAAACAAAGAAAAAACTAAATCAAACTACTAGACAAACAATAAATTCCTAATATTTTTTTAAGTAAACACTGTTAAATGGGGAAAGAGAGTGGAAGACAAGCAAGCATTTGAGCTTCAAAAAGACTTGATGTTTGCATTTAGACAATCTTACAAGCAGCTGACATGTTTAGTTCTTTTATCTGCTACACATCTTGCCCATTACTAATTATTAACATTTACTGTGCGGTCTTGACTTATTATAATTTCACTTTTTCATTTTTATAAACACCTTCTTATTTAATGTTTATTTTTAAATAATTTTCCTTTATTAATGAAGACTGATTGCTTGCTAATGAGAATTCAACAATGTATATAGAATTTTTTTTTTTTCAAGTCCAAGTCTGTGATAGAATTTCTGGAATAAATTTCAATTTGCCATTATTTTGTTTTGTGTTTTTACTGTTTGTCTTTGTTTTCAAAAGATTCTTGTAAGTGTGCAAAAAAGAAGGTATGTCCTGATAAGAAAGAGGAAGTGTTTTTGCTTACATTCAGATGATGAATTGTTTTCCACTCCTTTTCCACAAGACAAAATGTTGCCAGCCTCTTGCTACCCTACCACTGTTATCATGGCAATTCCTTGTGCATTACTTGGTTCCATTAGTCCAGACTTTCCCAGCTGGGTACTGCCATGCCACATCCACTAAGTTCACATTCCCTTCATATACCATTGGTAAGGCAGAAATTCCACTCAGACAACTTCTTCCCCAGAAATATTGTATTTTGGAACAGACATCCAAGAGGATGATTCCTTGATAACTACAATCTTAAACTCTTCAAGTCTAGGGACAACTGTTATCTATCTTACATGTTCTCTTAATATCTCTTGCTTTCTCCCTGTACACCCTTACAACATCATTTTGTAATCCTCTACTTTGAGTGACTCTTGGGCCTTGTGGTGGGTGAATGATAGCAAAAAAGAAAAAGAAGATAATGACTGGTGCCTATAATGTCTATATCTGGTGGTTTGTGAGTAGTATGTATGTAGTATTTCTTTGAAGTTGGTGTGGCACCAAGTGGGTCTTTTCAAACAAATGAATTTGTCAGCACATCGCAGGGTAGTAAGAATTTGAGCATTCTGTCCATGAGACCTGGGTTTGAATCATGCCATTATTGACAAGGTGCCTGAAAACCATACCATGGGTTGATTCAAATCTTATGAGTGAAATTGTGTAGGCAGAGCTGATCAGAAACTGTGTATGGTTGTTTTAGCACAAAGTCATAAGTTTTCATGACCAAAATTATAAGTGCACTGGCCTTGTTCAAACTGTTGATTATGCCAGCTTATGTTCTCTCTGCTTGAAACTGTAAATAAGATCTGCTCAGTATAAACCACAGGTTGGCTCTGAATATTGAAGAAACACAATTGTCCCTGAAAAGGCATCTGTACCCAAGATTGCCTAGCCACCTTGGCAGACGGGCGTTTTCATACTGGCACATAGGCTTAGGGGTTTTAAAAGTAGAATAGAACTGTTTGATTGGTTAATTATTGTTTTTTTAAATAACATCTCAAATACAGGTATTCCCTAAAATAATGCTAGAAGTAATAAAAATAACTATATTATAAGTGAACATTCTGAAATTTATATTTATTTTGTATTCAATAAATGAAAAATTAAAGTCACTTGAACTTTTCTTGATTTATTGAATATTATAGCTTGAGTTATCTGTTAAGCATTTTTGGCAGAGGTTCTGCTGGCCTGAAAAAACACATTTGAAACCCATTTTTTCAGTTGTATTCTTCTTCTTCGTATTATTATTATCACCACCACCACCACCCCCACCATCATCATCATCATCATCATCATCATCATCATCATCAAGCCTAGAACACAAACCATCAATTAAAGTTACATCACTACTAACTGTGGGTATATCATGCCAGATTTTGAAAATATCACAAAAACATTAAATATAAGTCGTAATTTGAAATATTTTACATGCAGGCACTTCAAGCTTTGTACATTGAGTTAACATTCATAGGAACTGAAAAACATATTATTTAGGTAAGAAAATCAGGTACTGAAAATTGTAATTAAAAATAGGAAAATTTGTGCTGGGTACTATATACCCATGGTTAGTATTCTAGGGTTAAACAAACAATACAGCATGATAAATAAAATAATGAAATAGGCAATCCTTTTATCGAAAATATTAAACACTCAATAATAAAATATGTTTTATTATGAGCAATTAAAACCAACACTTGAACTTAGTATTAGTGAATGAGAATGAACACAAGAACCTTGTATGTTTTAGATGCATTTAAAACAATGGGAAAAAAAAGGTATTTACCCATCTCTCCACGGCAACATAATGTGACAGAAGATCAGGTTTAATGTGGGGCACCTGTGTGTGTACACTCAAGCCAGAGACAAAAATTGCCCAATTTTTGGTTGCACTGGCATCAATATGACTACTGATTCCTCCTCTTTAGTGCAATAAGGCTGGTATTGCCACAGGCAGCTGTTCCCCTGACTGGGCACTTAGTATTTTTTTCCCTCAGCTGCATCTCTGTCTTTGGGCAGAGACATAACTGATAGATGATTACACTACCTGACCTACACAAGGTTAAGTATAAAAACAGAATCAAGAAGAGGTTTGCAGACTTAAGTACTCTGTTGACTTATCAGAGTCCTTTTAACATTCCGTGTGGGGTTGGTGCTAAAACTATAACTGGGGGAGCACAAATCTGATTGGGAGCCCTAGGCTGCGCTTTGTGACCCTCGTTATTTTTTCAACATTTGTTTTTTTCTACCTACATTTACATTACAAATTAAATTAAGTATCACTGATTATTAAAGGATGAAACATTTTTGCATATTTTGACATCAGGGTTCTTTTTTCTTTTTTTATGCAAATCAATAAATTTGTTTTTGTTCATAGTAAATCTTAAAAAAAACACTTTATAAAATTCACTTTTTTTTATCCACCATGTTGAATGTTTAAATTATTCAACTTTTTAACATGGAAAATATCAAATAAATTGCTGCAAAACATTCTTGATTGATTTAAAAAGATGGAATGATCTATTTATTATTACATGTCTTTAATTTCTATTTAGATACATTGTATTTATTTTCAATTTTTCTAATTGAATTGTTCACCTATATTGCATATGATCCATTATTACACATAATTAGCTCATAATAAAATTTGTATTTTGTCTGAATACTAGCTTATGAAAATTGAGATGTAATAGAGTGGGAGGTCTCATATCGTAGATTTGGTGGAGTCTCTTGAGACACTTGCACTGCCATGAGTCCTTAAATGTAACTTAGTGTCTGTAGTAACATCTTCGCAACAGCAATTTCCCTTTAGGCTTTGTGTCCTTTTTTGTCCATTGACACAGTGATTATGTAAAAAAAGTAAGTATTGTTCCAGTTTCATTGTATGCAAGTATAACGTCAGCTTTAGGTGCTTAATTTTGGACACCGAGCCAGCTTCATATTTACTGTTTTCTACCAATACCATCTGCTAGATAGAAGGCTTGTTTGATGGGTGGGGCTTATATGCTGATGTCACTATCTGTAGTATAAACTCGGAGAAATACTTTCAATTGTTTGTAGTGTTTGAGTTTTCTTGACTTGGCTTGATTTTTTTATTTGTTTTGTAAATATTTATATCAAAATAATTTTACCCAAAAATTGCCATATGGTTGTGTTGTCCCAAATGGAAGTTATCAAAATGGACTAAAAGTGAATGTATTTTCATTTCCAAAAGATTTATCAGATGCCTGGATACATGTTAACAAAAGGGAAATTTTTGTACTAAACAAAAGTAGTAAAGTGAGTAATTTCATTTATATTATTTACTTTTATATTATTTGTAAAAAGCGTTAAAACTTAATGATTAAATTTAATTTCAGGACTTTATAATTCATGATACATTAAAAGAAAGTAATGTGGCAGCCTCCACCGTTAAAACTAAAAGTTTTATTGGATTCTGTGGATAAAATTATTAATTAAATTCATCATTTTTAATAAAATTTCAATACAAATACTTAAGGACATTTTTATAATAATTTCTAATAAACATTTAATAACAAACACATGAATTTTTTTTTATTTGTAAAAAATATTTCCATAAAAGCGTCCACCAATATGAATTTGTAAACTTAAAATTTGCTTAAGTTTACATAATCATACTTATTATAAAACCCAGGTTGTGTGTGTGTGTGTGTGTGTGTGTGTCTGTTCGTTTATATATTGGATCAGATTTCCTACATTTTTCAACCGATTTCAACAAAACTTCACAGGACTACGTAAAATTACCTTGCAGTGGTTCTGACAGCGCCAAAAATTGGAAAAACAATTGTTTTTGCACAAAATCAATTTGAAAAAACAATTAAGAAGCATCACTGTCACAAGAATGAAAGGGGGACAACTCATATCGAGATATACTTATAAAACCCAGGTTGTTTGAGTGTGTGTGTGTGTGTTCGTTTATATATGGGATCGGATTTCCTACATTTTTCAACCGATTTCAACAAAACTTCACTTTTTTCTTTATTTTTACATTCAGAATGCTTTAAAAATTCCATTTACAAGACAATTGTTTATAATAAAATTTTATTCAATCAGTAGACTCATAACGATTTAAAACAATGTTTTTCTTCGAGTTTGGGTTTGACCAATTCATAAAAAAAACAAAAAACAAACAAAAAAAGAACTAATTAAGACATGCCTGTCCGTCAACCTTAAACAATAATCTTTGTTAATTTTATTTTTCAGTCCTTATGATGGTCGATACTTGATCTATCTCTTACTGTTACATCCCCGGCCAAAACCGGGCTCTACTGCTAGTCATATATAAACTTAAGCAAATGTGCTTTGTTTAGTATTTGTAAATGGTTTTGAATTTTGTTACCGAATTTTAGAACATCTACAAAACTCATTATTTTATCAATTTAATGAAATTTTTGATA